TCGGAAGGATGGAAGGCTGAGTCAAACTTGAGCCGGTGAGATTAGAACCACTGAACTGCAGATAACAGTCAGCTGAAGTGGCCTGCAGTACTGCATCCTAACCATTGCGCCACCTCGGCTCCTATCAAAAACAGCATCAACTGGAACAAGGGAAGTGTAGTAACGGATCCAAAGCAAATAAAGATTGCCTTGCAAAGCAAAAAATACTCGTCTACCTGAAAATAAGCAGTTTTGAATTCATTACAGTAGCAGAGTTCCTTCCGACCGATGCCCTCATTAAATCATGAGCTTCCCCATCCCCTTTGCCTATGACAACTTGAGAGAAGGTCAGGGATGCTTTGCGAGTTGACATTCAGTTTATTTCCTAATAATTGTGCATGTGACTTCACCAATAAACTGATGAATTAGTGACTGAAAAGGTGCTTTCTATTGTATACTTTAAAATGCATAAGGTGGTATAAGAAGGAAGATGATTGTGTCATCATTATGAATGTTAAATAATTAAATAGATGTGTGCTTAAGGATGTGAATGAGGAAAACAATACCTGCCCGCTACATTAATATATCCAATATTAATCATGTGAAATCTATAAATACAAGATTTTTTGATGTGGTATATGCTTATAGATATTGGAAGAAGATACTTAATTCATAAGAAAAATCAAGACTCTTCTAAGATCTAGATATATGGTTTGAGACCTCTCAGAACTAGAGCTTTTTCCTCAAAACAGACCGCAGCATCGAATACTTAAACTTTCCCAATTTTCTCACTTCAGATCCAAGTTTTCTTGACCTTTACTTAGTTCAAATGGTGAGGATAATAATCCTTGCATTAGTCCTTATAAAAAACCTTTACTGGAATCATTTTAATAAATTTTGAGACAATCAATAAATAACAAAGTTCTCTCCTACTTTAGCATCAAACTTAAATGAAACCTTTGCTAGGCTAAAATGAAGCAAATAGAGTTTCCTCCCAGCTATCCATTCAAAGCAAATCTCGCAATACTGAAGAGTATTCATAGATTCTCCAGCCTCACCATTTTTTTTTCATTCTTAGCAATGAGAAATTAAGTTACATAAGGTTATAGCAGAGGTGGGTTCCTACCGATACGGTACGATTCGGCCAAATAGGTAGTAACTCCGGCGGACATGTGACCATACCAGTTCTATCCTCTGCAGCGCCATCTTGATTTTCTGTTCTGCACATGCACAGAACAATCTTGATTGAAAAAATGTATTTTCCCCCTATTTAAATGATGTGCGCATGTGCAAAATTTTTCAGGTGCCAAACCAGTAGTAATGGTGGCAGGAACCCACCCCTGGATTATAGTATTATTCTCTTAATAAGAATAAAACTCTCAAGGTGACATTAATTCAGTTTAAGAAATTTGCTAAGGGAAAAGTCGTCTACTAGAAAAGAGACATTGTTTTTGAAAATAAAATAAATTTTGTTTAGAAGGTATAATAGAAGCATACATTATTTTAAAAAAGACAAGATTACGTGACCTTTGTTGCAGATTTTACTTTGGTGTTACTGAATACATTTTTATGATTATATTTATGAATAGACCCTAATTCTTTAAATAGATAAATGGGCACAAATCTTATTGTGTTCATTTAAAAACACTGAATAACCATCAGAGATGAACACGAATATTCAAGGCAGATATAAGAACAGGTTTGTTTAAACACCAAGTTAAGATACAGAACTGACCTTATTCAATCAACATTTCTTTTAAATGTTCTTTGACCTGAAACAGAAGAAATATAAAATTCATGCTCACAAAATTAAAAAGTGGGTATATACATATTTACAAAGATATATATACAGTTGCAAGAAAAAGTA